TAAGAAAGTTCCATGAAGCTCATTGGGACCTGCTTTTGTGTATGATTGCAACCTTAAAATTTTGCTGCAATGGGCATGTGTTAGTTAATATTTTTTGAAATAGGGAGAAGAAACCAGAAAGCATATTATTAATTGATATGATTTCCTTACAGTTGTTCTTCTTGTATCAGGCCAGAGTGATTTCCAAGAGAAGGGGAAGAGTTTTAACTTAAACATCACAGTAAACCAACACTTTTTTTCTTTCTTACCTATTAGCATTTTTCTTAGCTAACCTGTTATTAACCAAGAAGTATATTGTCTCTTTTCTTTATCGAGAACACAGAGCTCGTTTTGTTCTTAGCATCCTTTACCAAACGTAGCTCATGATGAATGTTAGCCTTCCTGGCACTGCCTCCACAATACGGGCTATATTGGTTCGTGTTCAGTTGCGCTGCCTTTGAAACGGCAGTGATACATCTTAACCAGCCTCGGTTCATCAAACCTTGTAATATAATTGAAGATCAGATGCAGTTCACAGGATGGGCATATCTTTCCTTCTGTAATGGTAGTAGCCTCAAATCAAGCAAATTACAATCTGAGAGGATTTCTGATAACTTCAGAAAGTTTTGCCTGAGTGTGTAATGAGTGTCATGTAAACAGCAAACATAATAAGCTGCACTATATTTTATATATTTTATATATGCCCTGTTCTCTTCTCTTCTCTTCTCTTCTCTTCTCTTCTCTTCTCTTCTCTTCTCTTCTCTTCTTTATATTTATGACCTCTATATCTGCCCACTAGACTAATATTGACAACACTGCCTAGCAACAACCCCACAGGCTCTCAAGAAAAATCTTTTCCATCACTTCATGCCTTAGTTCCTTTAAGTGTAGATAGACAGAGGATTTCTGCAGAATCTGACCATTAAGATCAATCCTCTCTCCAAGTTCCATCTTACATTTCATCTTTTCAAAAAATTACACTGTGAAATATTATTATATTGTCAGCTTTCCTTGAATAACTGATTAGTGTCACTGAAATAAGAGTAAGAAATTTAGGTTCAAGCAACCTCTTTAGCATGACCTTTTTAAAATGTCACGGAAAACTTCACTGAACACACATTATATAAGTTTGCTGATCTGTAGACTCTTCTTCGCGTGCCTTTAACTCAGACAGTATCCACGGTTCTATAGCACCCACTGTCTTAAGGAACTTTCTGGAGTTAACAGTAGCAAATATTCTTCCATTTAGAAATGACTTCAATTTATTCAGTCCTGCATTTCCTGAAAGTAAGTGTGAATCCAGGGTTAGCATATCAGGGAAAAAAATTTCCTGGAACAATATGGTCATATTAAAGCATAGATATGAAATAGTTTCTTCAGTATAGATACACCCATACATACACATAAACTTTTTCTATATATATACTTTTCCTCAGGCACCATTTGGGATGCAAGCTGCATATGGATATCCTCTAGAAACTCTAATTTTTGTTCCTGGGTATTCCCTTGGAATAATGGTCTTCTGCAATCACGTGATTTTGCTGTGGGCATTTTTAATCTGTCGCTTGGTTCTCACCATTGATGCTCACAGGTAATGTTTTGCTACTTAGTCTGCCTCTGGCGACTGATGGACCTGGTGGGGTTTCAAAGGGCACTGGGGGTTATTCCTGAGGTCCTTACTGTTTTGATGGCTTTTATTTGTAAGCTGCTTAGAGTCACTTATACAGTGAGATTGGGGGGGGGGGCAGTATAGCTTTGATTTATAAATACATAAATAAATGTGAGAAATGGCTTCATATTATTAAAATTTGCATTCAATTATGTTTCTTTTTAGCGGCTATGATATTCCTCTGAATCCTTTACATTTGTTTCCTTTTTATGCTGGGGCTCGCATTCATGACTTCCATCATATGAACTTCACTGGCAATTACTCCTCAACATTCACATGGTGGGATAAACTCTTAGGTACTGATTCTCAATATAAGTCTCACACAGAGAAAGGGAAGAAACAGGAACGCACAGTGGAAAAGAAGATGGAATAAATCTCCCATTTGCAACACTGTTTGCAGCATCCAAGAGGCAAATGGCTCCCATCTTACTTTTGATTAAAACTAGAAAACCTAACACATATTACAATTCAAAGCAAAATACAGCTTTTAACAAACCGCCAAGCTTGGGTATGCAGCAGGAAAAAATGTTCATTGATGCATTTTCCAAATGATTGTGCTTTTTCTATCCTGTACTTAAGTCAAACAGATACAGTATATATTGACAATGAAGTCGTGCAGCTTTGAGGCAGTGAGCAGTGTGTAAGTGCCAGCCTTTTTACTTCTGATGTTTCCTCAAAGTATTGCTTGTTTTGCTTTTCTTGAATACAATAAAAGTGATTTACCGTTTAATGGTGCTGGAGAAGACTCTTAAGAGTC